AACAAAATAGTAATAACAGATCGGGATGTTTTGCCTATTTGTCAATTGCATATGGTTGGCTAATTTCACTACTAACTTGGAATGTATTCACACGCAAATGTGACATACATTCACAATTCTATGTGAAGTCGTCTTAGAGGGAGACAAATAATTGTAACCAAATTTAAAGAGAAATTAAATTTGATATTCAATATAAACTTTCCTTGAATAGATCTCAGCAAATACATTCCGAAAATTAAATTTTATGAAAATTAGATGGGTAAAACAAAAGTAATGAAATTTTAAAGTTTTGAAACATTTAAAAAAAATAAAGTAATTGGTGTATAATATTAACTTCAAATAGACTACTAACCAGAAAACAAAAGTAATGAGACCACTCATGTAAATGTCATGTAAATAGACTACTAACTGCAAATAGTTAAAAAAGTCAGCAAAATCTAATAATCAATTACTAAAATCCAAAATTCAAACCCAACAACTACTACTAATTACATTGTACATTTGGGCTAGAATGTTTGAATGTGATATACTTACATAGATTAGCACCACTTTATGACTTCTCTACTTTCTGATGGCTTTTGTGTTCTTCCAATAAGGGCATTTTTGTCTACAGTAGAGATGGCTGAAGCCTATTGAGGGCCTAGACAAAAAAAAATGTAGTTAGAATATGGTTTAGTGCCTTACATTGGCCATTGCCATTCTATTATTGTCCCCATTCTACACTAACAAAGTGCAACTTCTTGTGCAACTTAGATTGTAAAGGTAGGTGCTTTTAGAAGCAACGGTATGGTTGAAAGGCTACAGCTATCCCAGCAGTTCAGAGAGATTAGTTTTCATCTTTTTTCAAAAAAATATGAGTGAAAGGACGACCATGTTCTTTAATCGTCATATTGACCAGATTATCCTCTATTGTTTCTATGGAGTTCCAAAGGTTTGTAGTAGAAAGATGTGAGAGCATTTAGGCTATTGATTAATCACACTTTCTACTCCTAATTTCTTATGTGATGGCCACAGATTTCTCAACTGAGGCTGACTTTTAAAGAAATTATTTTCAACTATAGAAAACAACGATAGTGTAAACCTCAAGTTTTTCGTAGTGTGTCTGATCGACTAATAGCAGAATTCCAGTGCCCAACTTTAGACAATCTAAATATAAGGGCTGTAAAAGGAACCATCTACCCATTACACACTAAGTAAAGAAAGAGTTAATAGATCAAGGAAAAAGATCGAACCTCAACCAAATTAGCGAAACATAAAAATGTGTGGCAATAATTAGCAAGCTAACATAAATTGTGGGAGAGCAATAATACAGAGCATAGTGCTCAATTCCTTGAGGCTAGTGCTGGTAAGGATCATGTAAATTCCTTGAGGCTACCAATTTAAGTTCGAAGTCTGCAATAAGGGCTATATATATATCCAACATAAATAGTATAATTAGATATAAGTCATGAGTCGAAAACATTTAAGGTGTTTAATAGTAAATTGTGATATTTCAAAGTGTTTGGTTATTTTAAGATGTTTGATATTTGAAGATGTTTGAATTTTGAAAAATGTCTGTAGTTGTCTATGATTTTACTATTGTTTAATAATTTTGAAAGGATATTTTGAAGATACATAAAAAATAGAAAACATGACAATTCTTCACACTTTTATAATAAAATAATAATAATAATAGTTGTAGATATTTCAATACAAATTAACACAAACAAATTTAAAATAAATCAAAATTTATAAATAAAATCAAAATATCCCAACCATTTATCACTGTAATAATTTTTTTCAGTATTGCTACCAATACCAATTGATCATTCGATAAACATAAAACACATTGAAAATCTCAAAATTTTCTCATTATCAAAATGAGGGACAAATATGTAAATATATTAATAAATAAAAAAAAGGAAAAAAGAAAATCACTTAAGACTTGTGAGTAAATAAATCCAATCAATGACTTGCTGGTAATTATCCTTGAACTCTTAATTCAGTTAGGCACCAAGTTCGACAGGAGAATTCAATTTCAAAGACACATCACAAATGTGTGGGAGAGCAATAATACAGAGCATAGTGCTCAACAATCCCACAATCAAATTTGAAAATGAGACAAAGAGAAAAGATTATAAGCTTTTATAGTTCAGTCCATGCTATTCAGTGTACACATACACAAGGAGGACAATTACTATTTACATAATAAACCACAAAAAAAAAAAAGATAATAATATCATGGCAACTTATTTATACATATAACACCATATTTTAAGCACAGTTTAATGATGAAATTGCAATTTGAGAAGAAAGTTAATATCATATCATATCCTATGAAATGTACATTTACGCACAGTTTAATGATGAAATTGCCATTTAAGTGTTCATTTCAAGCACACTGAGTAAAGAAAGAGTCAGTAGATCAGGGAAAAAGATCGAACCTCAACCAGATTAGCGACACATAAAAATGTGTGGCAATAATTAGCAAGCTAACATAAATTGTATATTCCAGGGCCTTGTACTAGTTGGTGAAAAGGAGCCAAGATGATTAAGACCAATCACTACTCTGCAATCAATGTATGCTTGATGACAAAGCACATTATTCCACTAGTCACCAGACATTTGAAACCATTATCCTTCCATATCTACTTATATGAAAGGTACATTTACGCTAGAATGTGGGCACACAGATGCCCATAAACTAATGAACTACATTCCCAGTACATGTCCATGCCCACAAACATTTTCGAGATGTTTCAGAAACTCTAATTTAGGCACATGATTATTAATTATAAGCTGAATAATGACGATTAAAGAGCATGGAAAATGAGAATCCAAATCCGAAATGTTCCAAAATTGAGAATCCAAATCCACAATCCAATCATTTCTGAGATGTTCCAAAATCGAGAATCCAAATCCACAATCCGCAATTTGAACCACACCAATTCACGAAATTAGAAAAAGCCCTAAAAGTTTGTTTACGAATAAATGGAAAATGAGAGGAAAAAAACATGTCAAACCCTACTTGCATCGTGAGAGAAGGGGATGGGAGAGACATCGAGAAACAGATAGAACCAGACAAACCCAGATAGATAGAGAGGGAGAGAGACGACAGACACATACCTGTAATTAGTGGTGGGGCTGATTTGCAGTGGTCGTGGTGGTGAGCGCCGATGGCCTGCGATGGTAATGATCGTCGGTGGTGAGCAATGGGTTTGGTATGGACTGCTCTGTATGTTGATGTTGGTATGTGAGACAAAAGAGAACAAAACATTGTGTGTGTGTAATGTATATACTGGGCACCAAAATTAATAATTTTCCCTCTAAAAAAAATTTCGAAGCTTTAGCGACTAAACAACTATTTGTCGCCAAAAAACCCTTACGGTGACAAAAAAATTGGTCGCCTAAAGATTTTTTTTGCTACTAAATTCAAAATTTCGTCAGAAATATTGAATATACAACGACTAACCCAGCTTTGGTCGTCAAAAATTAATCAGAAATATGCCCATTTTTTGGCAACAAAAATGTTTAGTCGCAAAATGAAATTATCCGGCGATAAAATCAAATTTTAGTAGCCTAAATTGGTAACAAACAGCGACTACAGGTAAATTTGGTCACCAATAAGTGTATATGGCGACTAAAATAATTTAGAAGCTAAAAGGTTCGATCAATGCCGACTAAAGTAGGGTTTTAGTCGCACAATGTGGTGTTTTTGGCGACTAAAATTGGTTTGGTCGCCAATTTTAGTCGCCAAACATGCATTTTCTTGTAGTGATGACTTTATTAGAGACCTTGTAAATTAGAATAATTATAATAAGGTCTTCAATCCATCGATTACATTTTCTACGTGACCAGTTGTGGTCTTGGCTTGTTTGCGCTGATTCTCGAGCGAACTTGGGACACGAGGGATAGATTCTTGGTTAGCCACCCCAAAGAAATCAAATAAAATTTGTTTTAAGCAATATATATATTTTTAGATGTTTATAAAACGTTTATTCGAAAGATATGGTGAAACAAGATTCAAAATATATACTAGACCTCTAAAATTTGTAATTTTAAAATGATAAGTTCAGTTTTTAAAAGATAGAGAAAATAATCAATTAGTCCTAATTTTCTTTAAAAAAAATTATTGAGTCCTATCAATTTTTTATTGCACTGCGGGAAATGAGGGTTTTAGCGGCATAACGCCGCTATAGGTCTTAAAAACGCCGTTAAATCTTTTTGTGACGTTTGATACCAAACGCCGAAGATGCGGCCGTCGCTATAACTTTATGACGCTTTAGAAGCGTCGCTATATGACTATAGGCGGCGTTTTATAAAAACGCCGCTAAAAGTTCTACTAACGGAAATATGACGTGCCATGCTATTTAGCGACGTTTTTAAAACGCCGTCGTATCTCTATTTTCAAAAAAATCCAAACATCAATGTAACATTTAGCGACAGTTTTAGAAACGTCGTGATAGTCTTTTTTTTTAATTGTGCTAATTTTATATGATTGAACTAAAAAATACCTGTAATTAAACTAAAAACAGCACTAATATGAAATAATAACTCTTATTCAAAATGCAACATTAATTCACTTTCCCATTCAATTTAATATCCAATCACCATTAATAACAAAATAACATATCCAAAAGTGAATTGTAACCAACAAGAAGGTTGACTGAATTATAACCTAAGCAAGTGGCCAACAGCTTTTCAGGAAAATTGATTTAAATCTTCCAATGAACTAGAGAGAGAACCAAGGAATGCAAGGAAAACAAAAGTGAGGTTAATCTACCCCATAAAGGAAGAGGTACTGAGCTCATGACAAGGAATGCAAGCACAAAAAACGGGAGTTAGATTAATCTGATGACTTCACATTCATGCTGATCTTGAGCTGGCCAAGTCCTCCAGATCTTGGTGACAGGCCTTCATATAATATTTGTTTGCAATAATTTATATATGCTTCTGCTGAATTATATCAAAACTTGTCCTTAATTCATCATGAAGATATGCTTTTTCAATGCTCATTTTCTTCAATTTTGGCCCAAATCCAACAGATAAAGCAAATTGTCGCAATATGGATTTAAGTGGCGCTGCCAGCTGCATATATTAAAGCCCCAAGCATACGCCTGAAAGTAAAACAAAGGAATAAAAAGTATTTCAGAATGAAAAACAACAAAACCAAGCCACAATTGACAACAAGATAGAAGCAGCAACAAAAACCAACCACAGAACAAAGCTTACCCCTTCAACAATCTGTGGATGGCCACCTCCAGGATTGGCAGCAGCATTTTGATTTACTCCCAGCCCAGTCGAAGAGGGTGTCCTTGCTACATCCTCAATATCTTTAATTATGGATCTTAGAAGAGCTACATGAATCTCCCCTAACAACCTTGGATCCTGAAAATAGTAGGGAGCAGCTAAAACAATAAGATGAGAGTAAGGATAAAGCAAATAGTCTAAAGGCAAAATTAAATACAAGGATCTCAAGAACTTACATAATCATGAAAAGCTTGAATAAATTCATCCAGCATAAATGGCCAAAGCCCCAGAACGTCAGCAAAATTTATTAAAAATCTCCAGACCTAAAAATCAATTCACAGGTAATAACATTAGAATGATCACAATACCTCCATAAGCATCACCATTAGATCTAGTCCATATGTTGCTTGAAAAATTGTAGTTCAATCAACATTTAGTCAGTCTTAATTTTTTGTCTTCCTTACATTTTCAACTAGATGATGCAGCTCAAGTCTGTTCTTGCCACCCCAAAGCTGACTGTGTGAAGTCTAAATCTAAACCAACAGGGCCCAAGAAGCACAATCAATAGGATCAAAGGAACAGTATGACAAATTTTTAGAATTCAAGGTTTCCTCTAATCTTATCATCTCAAAAACTAACCTACCCTGGAAACTACAGACTGATTTGTTACTATTAGCTAAATATGATGCGACTCAAAGGGTGAATCCTCCGCTGTATCAGGTCTTGTCACAGGGTTCCTCTGTTAGTTTCTGTTTATGACCTTGGTCCTCCATGTAACAAAATAACTTACAAAAAAAATTAATAATAAAAAGAAAAGATAATGGAATACCTTGTATAAGTAATGCTGAGGTATTGAGACTTGGACAAGTTTCTTATAGACTTCCATTCTGATGATTGCTAAGATACGTTTCTACTTGCCCTGTTGCTGCCAATATAAGTCCTACAATGCAAAATCACAACTGTTAAGATAGAAGATAGATAGATCATTAGGAAAAAGCTTATACTGGAATAAAAATACAGTTAATCAACTTTTCTTTATGGAATTGTATACAGGGCATCAAATTAAAGCAATCTGCTGGCTTTTACATGTGGCAATTCGTCGATTGGGAAGCAAATAGCACGACATGAATCCACAAGCAAGTGCTTTAGAAAAATGTACTAGAAATTTCAGTTGGTCATCATTGTTGATTTTTGTACAAAAAATGGTAGTTTTCCGATCATCGCCCGACCTTTAGTTTATTTATCGAGGATCAAGAAGTGTGAATGCAAACCCCATACACAAAAATGAACTGTTCAATTCTCGGAGGACGTAAAACTCTCCTTTTCCCACGTTGAAAGGAGGAGCATTAGAAGTTTTTTTCTATCTTCTCTCAGATCAGAAGCGCAAGTCATTACTACTGCCTCATGTGAACAATAGCAAATGAAGCCAGTGAAAATATTGGCTTGAAAAACACAAACATGAGTGAGAAGCTAATGCTGTGAAAACCCAACACTTCCTCTGCAAGGTTCATTCAATTAAAGTGAATGATCTTTTTTGAATGTATATATAATAAAATGAACATTTCATAAACTGCATACAAACATTTGAATACCTCCCACCTTGGTATGTTTAAGATGGAATTGTTTAGATCTGGGTTAAAATAGTCAGTCAATGAAATGCATAAATTCATTTAACCACTAAATACCAAGAAACGGAGCTGAAGGCCTCCCGGGCAGTGACTTAAATTCTGGATGGAACTGCACTCCCACGTAGAATGGATGATCGGGAAGTTCTAAGATCTGGAGAAAGTAAAGGAAAATATTAACAATAATTCAAAATTCAACAATGATTGGAAGAAAAATATAACCCTAATATGAACTACCAATTGGACAGTTTTTCAGGATGAAATTGAAATTTTAACCAATTCAAGAAGAAAAAATGAAATTGAGATTTTAACCGATTCATTATTATCAGTTTGTCAAGCTCATCCAACCTTTAAAGTCTGATGAGCAATCTAACATCCATTCGCTTTCCACTATCATCCTTCCCCACAAATTTTAAGCCAGCTTTTTCTAACATGTCAATCATATCTGGATTCACCTGTAACAATAATGCCATGGGCAAGTATATATCCCGTGATAAGTATTATGTCTATGAACACTTTTCTTCCACCAAATCAATCTTCATAACTAACCTCGTATCTATGCCGATGTCGTTCATCCACATACTCTGAATTATGGTACCTAGAAATAAACAGAGAATATAGTATTATGCATGCATGAAGGAAGATGAAAAAATCCAAGAAACTTGATTGGAAAATGTGGACATTCATATCTCGCAGAAAGGGATGTTGGGTTAACTTTTGGAAATTATTAAATGGAGCATTGATATCTCTTACAGTTTTGCAGTGATACAATCAGGAGTCTGAAACAGCATTTTGCAACACCCCAGTCTCATTGTGCTTCCCATATGTGTTCTTGAACCCTGTATAAATATAGAAAGATGATGGTTATTAATTTGCTATAACCAGTGTTTCTTGCAAAGGAGTAGCTCAAAAAAATGTAATACAATGCAAGCACCTCTGGCATGAAAATTACAACAGGATTGGGTGTCTCGTTGTCAAATTCTGTACTGTTTGCCTTTTCCCAACCCAAAACCTAAAACATGTGATGAAAATAAGGTTAGTACATGGTCTGTCATATGAAACATGTCAATCTATGGGAAGGAAAGTCACTTACAGATCTAGCATACTCAATAACAGAAATCTGCATGCCCAAGCAAATCCCAAGATATGGAACTTTATTTTCTCTAGCATACTTTGCAGCTAGCATCATTCCTTTCACACCACGATCTCCAAATCCACCAGGAACTAAGACACATGCTGCATTCTGAAAATGTTTGGGTAACCAAATTTGTATGATTTGGTGAAAATGTTCTAACTAAAAAATTAATGGCAGTCTTACTCAATACCAGCTTAAGAACAGTCAAGACAGTCAGTGCTTAGGTTTGAACAAATAGTATGCTCAACACTCAACTATCAAAAAGATTAAAAATATAATAAAAATAAAAGGAAGTAAGAAAAACATGCATCTATAGATAACATGTATCCATGTAAAGGGAGGGAAGCCTGGTATAAAAAAATAACATGGCGTCAACGGAAGAAACATGAAACAGTGATAAACAATCACAAACCTATTTATACCAAATTCCAAACAAATCAGAACACTGCTGGGAAAGAGGAAAATCAGAAGATTTGGCCATATAGCCAACAACGAATACAAAGAGGTTAGAAAATTCCCAATAATGTTCTTCTGTAATCATGAAAATAAATAATGTAAATAGAGACAAATTATGCGAGATGTGTGTATATTCTTTGTTTCTTCTGAAAAGTACTCAACTCAACAAATCAATATCCCAATTACTTAGGGTCAATTATTTCCTCCAATTGATTCTATTTGAAGTTATATCCTCAATTAAATTTAAGTTAATCATGTTATTTCTTATCACCACATCTCAGGTTCTCCTCAGTTTTCCTCTATTTATTTTTTTTAATCACCCTCCACATGGATCAAATTACTCCTCAATTCACATGTTCAACTTAATAGGAATTGTGCAATCACACAACCATCTTGATACTTTTCCACTTTTTTGTACATCTGGTCACCTCATCCACATAGAACTAGTTTTCTATTTCAAAATCCATTTCTCCTTAATCATTCTATTCTTAAGGAGAGAAAAAAATTCTTGTCTTTAAAAAAAAAATGTATTAGAAAAAAAAAAATCAAAGGGGATGCCACTTATGTAGAAAAAGAAGAAAAAACAAAACAAAACAAAACAAAACAAATCAGGAAAAGACACACACACGAAAAAAAAAAAACAAAAAAAAAAAGGCATATATATCACCTCTGATATCAAAAGACTCTACAAAATTCACATATTGAGTAAGGCTCAAGGCAACAATTCCCATGACCCAACTACATGAATGCCACCTGTATATCATGTGCATCTTGAACCATATATGCAACCAGAGTCAACACACAATCAGTCAACAAAAAATTCAACCAATGATCTGGTCTAGAAGGTCTTTAAAAACTTGGTTTTTCATGTTATGTAAACTATGTTTTAAATAATGTGATTCGCAAAACAAGAGAGTTCCCTTTCGAATACAAACAAATTATTGACGATGTGTGACCTATTGGAAAGAAAAATATAAGAACAAAAAGAAGATGCCACACACCAAAAAACTAAGGCAAAAAAGAAGAAGAGAGAGATTCCATAAAACTTACCTTCAATGCCTCTCATGCTGTAGCATGATCTTCTGGTGCCTGCACAAGGAACAATGAAATAACACATTGTCCTCAAAAACATTTGATAGAATATCCAACATACAACTAGCAAAGGCCCAATACCAATTTTGCAGTTTCATCTTCAAGGTCTGAAACTGCAATCCAGTCATGGTAAAAACAAACACTCATCATCCTATTGTCCTAACAGTTGATGAAACAGAGCTTCTTATTCCTAGAGAACAAGTTTATCAGAAATTTCTTGCCACAAAAGCTAAGATCCTACAATCAATTTTAATAGCTTTTTCCTTGGGCTATATTTCGATCATTGACTTGTGGTGGGAAAAGTCAAGAAGAAAATGAAGTGAAATAAGACTTTTTTTTTCTTTTTTTTCTTTTTTTTTACTTTCCACTTGATAAATCCATGATCTGAACATAACACTAATTTGTGTTGGTGTGATCGTGCAGGTTTGTCACTTCTGAAATCCCAACTAGAGAATAACAGCCATACTGAACAAGCATAAAGGATATCAAAACCATTCAAAAGCAACATAAAATGAAATATTTTCAGAAGCCAAATATGAACCAACAAACAATCAGCACGTTCAGTGAGAAGAAACAACAGGACATCAACATTCAAATATCAAAACCATTCATAGAATTTCACAGGATTGATTTCAAAAACCAAATCGACATTGCACCATCAGTTCAGCTTGAGAGAGAGAGAGAGAGAGAGACAGACAGACAGACAGAGACAGAGACAGAGATAGTAGAGCTCACCAATCTAAATCGCTAAGATGAACTTTGATTTCGAGAGAGAACTTTGAAATGGCTCTGATGAATCACCAATCTGTTTCGTTGAGACCAAGCTGAATCTCTGAATCACCGAGCTGAATCCCTGAGATAATTAGGGTTTAGACAGCAGTAAAGCTCACCGATCTAAATCGATTCACCGATCTGAATCTCTGAGATCATTAGGGTTTAGACAGCAGTAGAGCTCACTGATCTGAATCAATTTTGAGAGAGAACTTCGAAATGGCTCTGATGAATCACCGATGTGAGATCTTCGAAATGGCTCTGACTTCGATTTTGAAAGATCTTAGACAGCGCAAAGAGAGAGAGCTCGAGATTATCATTTTCGCTTATCAAATTCAAAATAGCTTATCAGATTCAAAATAAAGGTTGAAAAGAGGGAGATAAAGAGTGCGTGGGACAACACCATTTGAAGGCGTTCAGAAGCGTCTTCTATTCATGAAACAGCGCCGTTTTGATTAAACGAAAAGGTGACGTTTACAAAACATCGTTAAATAGTTGAAACAGTGACGTTTTCAAAAACACCATTAAAAAAATGCCTCCAAAACAGATATTTCTTGTAGTGAAAGTGCAATTAACCCAATAGCTAATTGCCTATTGAAGTTGGGAAACAAGGCTTTGATCAAATGGAACTTATTGGCTGCCATTGTAATGTACACACCATCACTCATCCTCACCTACAAGGCTACGACTATCAAATAATAGTAGCTTCTTTCAAAGGATTTTCAAATTATTTACAAAACAAAATCACAACCACAAATTGTCATTCTTAACTGTGAACAATTCTATGGATCTTCCACCAAATTTATTAAACACAAAAAATTCTAACCGTGAGGAAAATATGATGCAATAATTGTATAAACATCATCAGCTAATCAGTCAATCCAAGATGCACCCAACACCTTAGCCATGAAGCTAAATCAGTCTGCAGCTTCATCAATCTGTAGCAAAGGAGAAAGACTGTTTAGAAACAGGATAGATGTAAAAAATATTTTGCAGATAGATGAATTGATAATATGTTTTGAATTGGTAAAAGTAACTTGTATTTCTTTTTCTCATTATTTTGCTCAATATCCATCAAAATATGAATAATTTTAGTTACCAAGAAATTTGAACTATAATTTTACCCAAAAGGTGGAATGTAGGGTGCAAATTTAAAGTTAAAGTGTTGTTGAGCCATAAAATGAATCTTTGTTCACATGTTTTAGTTCTGGATAATTTTTTTTTTTTTAGTATGTAGCAAAATAGATGACATTAATATAATGCTTACCATTTTTTGAGTTTTTCTGTAGGTTCTTTTCCAACGATTGGGTTTTTCTGTGGGCTCTTTTCCAAGCTTGTGCACAAAACATATTGCATGGTCTGAAAAAAATGCAAAAAACACTTTCAACAAGTAGGCAAAATCAAAATAACATTCAAGAAAAATTGCATACACCTTGGACCAAGCTGCCCACCAAAGGCCTTGATGGTTTCAAAAAATTACACATGCATATGTACGCATACCACAAAAAGTACTATACTTTCGGTAGATAGTGTGTGAACTAGCATATATGGTAGCACATCAAATTCCAAAGAAAAAAGAATGTGTGCACAGAAAGTACCAGACACATTATACACAAATGTGAGATAAAATGTTACAAAAATACCAACCTAGACGGTCCTTGTTCCAAAGTCATACACCTAGGATCCGAATGCAATGATTCACATGATTTATTAATCATCTTTCTCTTTTTCATATTTCTTAAAAGTCGGCCAAATATAAATAAAATAATGCACATGTATAACATCCATTTCATAATTTCATTTAATAGCATTTAATATTGTGCTGTTAAATTATATGAGAATTTAAAAAGTGAAAAGTAATAGTTAGGGGTTAAATTATAAAAAATAGTTCCTAAGATAAGTAGTGTGAAAAAAACAACAAAAAAAAAATGTTTAATGTGCACTTTTATCATTTGTACCAAAAATAAAACTTCAATTTATATTATTCCAATTTCCCTTGTAATAAAAGACCATCATTCCTTACTTTCAGAAGACTACTAGATTTCTTTTTGTTGAATGTAAGTTCTATGATAGAGTTTTTACATATGCTTTACTGGAACTCAATATAGACAATTCCTAAAGTATATAATTTTTGTAGATATAAATATAGAACTTTATTCAGTTATTTCCACACAATATAATTTAATATAATCAATTCAATCATAGAACCTCACACAGATCTAACCTAGACGGTCCTTGTTGGAATATACGAATCCTGTATATTGTGTGAATCCGGTATATTGTGTGATTATGGGATTTTAGGCATATTTCCTTATATTTGATTTTATTGTTATTCTATCTTCCTAAATTGTAACCACCTCAATTCAGTATATATATAGACACACGAGGATAATCATATATTGTGATTAAGCCATTCAATTTATTATCTTCTTATGTCCTGACAAGAAGGTGGATAAATATTATAACATTTAAGAGGTGAACCTCATTGACAAAACTTGAGCAAGAAACTAGACAATTCAATCTTCAGATGCAGGGCAAATCAAAGCAAATAACATAGGAAGTAAAACATAATTGTAGCAATTAAAGACTCACCGCTAATAACTTTAATGAGTGTAATGGCACAACCCGATCATCATGATCAGCTGTCAATAACATGGTAGCTGGGTACTGAGAAAACTGATCAGAGGATTGTTCCCATGGTCTGCTAACATTATGCAGTGGCGAGCACCTGAAGAGAAATTTAACAATGGCAAATATTCAAAATGATAAAATAGTTACCCAACTACCCGTCTGCTGAAAACTTACGAGTGATGAAAAGCTAAAAGAAAAAGCAACCCAGCTCAAAAATCAAACGAGAACTGACTACTTGCTAACTGATGATGGATAAACAAGCACGGGAAATTGGTCTATGATTCTCCATTAACTTCAGTGAAAGTTGAACCAATAAATAACAGTCATTAAGAGCCACACACTAAGACACAGAACTGAATGAGTTTACTCAAGACTTGCCAAAAAAAAAAAAAAAAAAAAAAAAAAAAATTTAAAAAATG